TTTTTTTTTTTTTATTGGCATAATTTATGCTATCATTAAAAGCATCAATCTTTCTTCTTTTTTTTTATTTCACTCAATTCTAAAAGTAAAATTAGAATAAACAAAACATTATCAATTCAATTGTTTTTGAATTGATAAAAGATGAAGGAAGGAAAATGAAGAGAAAGAGAAAGAAAGAGATTAAGATTAGGTATTTAACAAAGAAAAAAAAAAAATTTCATCAAAGAAAAAGAAGAAAAACAAGTTTTTCTTTTAATAATTTCAAATTTTAATTTCAATTTCCTTCCTATGAATACATTGATCAAATTTTTTCTTTTTTTTCTATCTAAAATTAATAGGATAACAGAGTACTAGAGTATTACATTAATTGATTAATGTTAATTGAAAAAATAAATAAATATATCATTTAGTTATAAATCAAAATCAATGCATAATTTAATTCTATGAAAACAATAAATATGGAAAAGACAACGATGATGACGATGATGACAATAACAATGACTGTATTCGTTGACAATGATTATGATAATAAAGAAAAATATGTCAAATGATTGTTGCATATCTCCCTTTTTTTTCTCTGTATTTTTTTTTTTACGAGTAATTTCAGGAAGAATTCATCAACAAATCGATAATGGCGGTAATGACGATGATGTGATAATGAAGAAAATAATAGCAAAGCATGGAAATATCGGCTAAGTGTTATCCTCGTGCATTCATAAATTTTTTTTTATTTTGAAAAAATAAATAAAAATAAATTTAAAAAATGGAAAAAATTTTTTTTCCTTCACTTTGATATTGAAAAATAATATTAACTTCCCTTCTCTTTTTTAAATAAAAAGTTGATTGAATTGAATTTTGATAGAAATTGCAAAAAATTTACTAAAGAAAGTACTTTTTTATTTTTTAGATTGCATTTTAACAGAAATAGATTAGATATTAATAAAATTTGATAAAATAGCGATTAAATTAGATCTTAATAAAATTTGATAAAATAGCGATTAAATTAGATCTTAATAAAATTTGATAAAATAGCGATT